GAAGTACTCTAATATTTATTCCAGTTTTTTGCACAAAGTCTATCTTAAAACATTGTGTTATTTATATTTATTTTATTGTTAAAAAAAAAACAATGTTAGCCACATTTACATAAAATAAATTAATATTTTACGAAAAAGTAATATTATGTACATACATCGGACCTTAAAATTGGACTACCATATACACATGTATACATATGTATTCTGAAGAATTCTGGGATACATTAAGCGTTAAGCTTATTCCGTGAATGTATTCTTGCGATTTACAAAAGCAGAAACACGCCTTTTACACTCACAACATTCATATTCAAACAAGTAAAAAAGCTAAAGTCGGGTGTACCGACTTTGAAATACTCTGTACACATGTTTACAATAATTATAGAAAATAAAAAAATTAAGAAAATTAAAAAAAAAAAATTTTGATCGATTTTACCTTTCTCGGTATTCGAACTCACGTAAATGGTGTATAATTGCACATTTACATAGCAATTGCGTCTGTGTGAGTGTATGTATGCCTATGCGCATCAATTCGTGTCTGTGTAAACATGTATGCAGTTAACCAAAGCACCAACATCAATAACAGTCGCGGGCAGCGCTTGAGCAGCGCTGCAGCAGCAAATATATTTATGGCTATAACTTCTTGTTAAATCGGTCTATCATGGTGAAACTTGGCATACGGTCTAATTGGGGGTATTTGCACATTTTAGTTCGAAATTCCAAGAATTACGGGAGTTAGAGAAAATCGCGATTTGCATGGGAGAGTGGGGAGGGTAGAGAGGGAAATTCCAAAATACACATTTTCTGCGTATTCACACAAAATTCTTGGACTAAAATTTGGTGTTCCTAGGTCTTATAGTCTCCGAGATATAGGCGATTATAAGAATGGAAAATCGGGAAAACCCCCATAGGGGGGAAGTGGGGGGAAAATCAAAAAAATAAAACAAACTCGTATAGAATACACACATAACGCATCTTTGTGCAAAATTTTGTGTCTCTATCTCTTATAGTCTCTGAGATCCAGGTGTTCATACGGACGGACAGTCGGACAGACAGACAGACAGGGCTAGATCGACTCATCTCGTCATGCTGATCAAGAATATATATACATACTTTGTGGAGTCTGCCACGCCTCCTTCTGCCTGTTACATTTTTCAGCACCCGCAAACCTAATATACTTCTGTACATTTCATGTACAGAGTATAAAAACAAGAAAGGAATGCTAAAGTCGAGCAGGCTCAACTCTTAAATACACTGTACCCACAAAAATAAATTTAATTAATTAATTAATTAAATTAAATTAATTAACTTAATTAATTAATTCAATTCCAAGAATTACGGGAGTTATAGAAAATCGTTAAAAAGGGGGAGTGGGGGGTGGATCAGAAAAAATGAACAAACTCGTCCTTTCTCGGGCTTAGGAGAATCTGTATGCCAAGTTTGGTTATTCTAGCTCTTATACTTTCGGAGATCCTTGCGTTCATACAGACAGACAGACAGACGGACAGACAGACGGACATGGCTATATCGACTCGGCTTGTCATGAAGTAAAATCGCTGCTCATGCGCTGCCTGCAGCTCTGTCGGCAGCGCTGGTCGCAGCTGTTGTTGTTGCTGCTTTGGTTCAACTTTGTGCTGCATACATATACGCATAGGTAAGTGATGTAAATGTATGCTGTTAAAACTGAACATAAACATGTATTCTAATTTAATTAAATTCATTCATTCATTTTTTTTAATAATTTAATTTTTTTTTTTTTTTTTTAATTTTTTTTTTGTGGAGAGTATAGGCTATTTTACTGTCGGTCTTGCTCGACTGTAGCGTTTATCTTGTTAAAAGCTCGTTTTCCCCAATTTGGAGCTAGAATTTTCCAAAAGCCTTTCTTAGTGTGCTCCTACACTATGATGGATACTATGAAAGGATACTTGAGTCCAAATTTCATCTTCTACCGTTTGGGCTGTGCGTTGATCACCAATTAGTCAGGACAAACTGTTTTATATGTAGAGATAACGCAACGTTTTAATATAGACTATGTGCAAAAAAGGGGAATAATTATAAGGGTATATCCTAATTTTAAATTCACATTTGGGTCTTTTCGTGCCATATTGAGTCAATACGGTCACGCACAAACTCGGGATATGAAACACGGCACTCGTGTCAATGCCGTGCAGCGATGAGCCACGATCAAAAAGCACTGACAATTCTCATCTCAATTTGCTAGAGTAAAACTTCGATAGTTGAAGCCACCGATACCATTAAAATATCGAAGTTTGAATGCAATAAGCAGAATATTTAAATAATAAAATCTAATTATTTATTGAGATCAATAAGAACAAATCATATACATACATACATCTGCCCGCAATGCAACGCAGAATATGCGTAGCTCCGTTATTCGGTTTCTGCTTTACTATCGCTTACGCAGTCGTTGCCTAGCGACGGTAACTGTAAACTTTTGGCGTTTTCCCTTTGCAATTAACATTAAATGGTCACAACGAAAGAAGAAGAGCGAGCTAATGACTTGCAGTTGTTGTTGTTTTTAGAGCATTATTTTTTTTTACAATCAAACAACTGTGTTCGATTGCCCAATGTATACACTAATACGAATGTACATACATACTATATTAATACACAGGCATACAAACATACATACATATGTATGTATGTTTCTCTTTAATTTTTCAACTGTACGTAGAGAACCGCACACATATACACGAACTGTTGCTTGTTGTGTGTGTGAGTGTGTGTATGTGATGTCCCCAACTATTTGATATTTGTTGTTGCTGCATAAAGGTATTAATGAAAACCCTAATGCCAAATGCACTAAACAAAGAAAAAATTACTGTTAAAAATGTTATATAATTTGCAATTAATGTGTATGTATACTTAGTTGTCCCCAACTGTTTGATATTTTGTATTGTTTGTTCTGCCTGCTTTTGTAAAATGCATATTTTGAAAATCCTTGAATGCAAAGTTGTAGATTAAGTTACGTAGATTACATTACCCAAATTTTAAATCGATCGGACTAATTTTATAACACAAACTTTTCAATTGAAATAGTGAATAAATATTAAAACCCCAATAATTCAAGCTCCAACACAAATTTCGAAAATCTAAGTATGCAATTTTGTTTGTTTTCTTTAATTGATTTTAGAAACTAAGTTTGGAGCTACTTTTCCCCCCTTTGGAGCTAGAATTTTCCAAAATCCCTTCTTAATCCACAATTACAGTATGATAGGATACTTGACCCCAAATTTCAGCTTTCTAGCTCTTACCGTTTGGGCTGTGGGCTGTTGACGCGGTTTCCTTTTGTGCCCCAAGAAAACCCCAAAATTTCAAGCTCCAACAAAAAATTCAAAAAACTGAGGATGCAGTTTTCTTTGTATTCTTTTATTGATTTCAGAAACCAAGTTGTATGTCGATCGGCTAAAAAATGCGGATTTTTCAAACAAACTTTGGAGCTCGTTTCCCCCCTTTGGAGCTCCAATTTTCCAAAATCCCTTCTTAGTAAGCACTTACATTATGACAGGATACTTGAACCTAAATTTCTTTACTTTTACCGTTTGGTCTTTGGGGTGTTGATTGTGTTTCAATTTTTCCAAGGAAAACCCCCCTTTTTTCATGCCCCAGGAAAAATGGTGAAAAACCAAGTATACAGTTTTTCTTGTATTCTTTTTGAGAGTATACAAACTAAGTTTGAAGTTAATTGGATGAAAATTGTAGATTTTTCATACAAACGTTGGAGCTCGTTTTCCCCCCTGTGGAGCTCGAATTTTCCGAATTGCTCACTTTCACTATAAGAGGGATCTTGTGTCCAAATTTCAGCTTCCTAGCTCTTACCGTTTGGGCTCTGCGTTGATTGCCAATCAGTCAGTCAGTCAGTCAGGACAAACTGTTTTATATATATAGAGATTTTGTGGGGTCTACCACGCCTCCTTACATATATTCGCACAAAACAAATATATCCCTTTACACTTTGGGTGAAGGGGGCATAACTGCACATTTATATAGAAGTTGTGTCTATGTGAGTCTATGCGTGTGGCTGTGCAAAGCAGTAACAGCAGCTGCGGCCAGATAGAAATTATACGGTAGAAATTATATTTATTGCTATAACTTCCTTTCAAATTGACCTATCAATTTGAAACTTGGCATACGGACACATAATGGAGGCATTTGCCTAATTTGATTGAAAAATTCCAAGAATTAAGGGAGTTATGAAAAATATGGAATTGTGAGGGAGGGGGTGGGGGAAATTTCTGAAATACACATTTTCTGCGTATTCTTGGACTAAAATTTGGTATATCCAGCTCATATGGTCTCCGAGATATACAAAAGGCGTTTCCAAAAATATCGCAATAGGGGAGTAAATCAAAAAATCAAACTCGTATAGCGTACACACATAGGGCATCTGTGTGGTGTCTTTATATCTCGTAGTCTTTATATCTCGTAGTCTCTATATCTTGTAGTCTCTATATCTTGTAGTCTCTGAAATTCAGTTGTTCATATTTTTTTTAATTTTCCTTTTTTGTGGAGAGTACAGGCTATTTTACTGTCGGACTTACTGGACCATAGCGTTCTCTCTTGTTTGTTTTTATAAGCTCGGTCGCAATCAGGACTCTGCTTGTGCGTCTGGCTGACGTCTTTTACCAAAACATAACGGAAAGAGCACTGGGAGCCGAAAGAGCCACTATAACGTGTGGTCTACCAGTTTTCGTTCTCGGCGTTACAAACTTAAACAGTAGGAACTAAACAAATGCAGTTAATACTCTTCAATTAATAACGTTTGATGGGTGTGCCCGGTGCCAATCGTAAGAATTGAAGTAGTCTTTAATTCACAGCCAAAACTGAATTTTAAATTAAAGTAACATCAACCGCCAAAGCAAACATAGTTGGAGGCTGACTGCTACAGCACTGGCATCCAGCTGCAAGCTGTTGACATTGACAGATAGAGCAGGGTTGTTTTTCTATCAGCTTTCCTCAATAATCGAGCATTGCCACCATCGCTGTCAAATAGTTCTTTTCCGGTTTTGTAAACGACGAAGGAGGTACGCTGACGGTTAAAGTATTATATTAATTTTGGAACATCGCAAATTGTGAAATGTTTAATTACAAAAGCCGCGTAAAATATGACGAAAGCATAAATTTAGTACACGCAGCTTATTATTTTATGTATAATTTGCGAAAACATACCGAAAAATAACTCATTTGAAAACTGTTTTTTTTTCTGTGGCTGCAAGTAATTGTGCGTCTAATTGTGATGTGCTATTTCCTTCATTTGTAGATATTGAACAATGGGCCGTTACTCACGTGAACCAGAGAACGCCACCAAGTCATGCAAGGCACGCGGTCCCAACCTACGTGTGCATTTTAAGGTAAGTTGTGTGAGGCGCCGACTGACGCCGTAGGAATTATTGATATTGCTATGCGAAAGTGTGCTTATGGAGGGATGTGCAACTAAAATCGGTATTTGGTTGCTTTTCTGCAGCATTTTACCTTTGCAAAGTTGCTAGACGAATTTTTGCTTATTTGGACAAGTATCAGCTGAACGCACTGATTACTCAGTGCGTTCATCTTAATCTTGTGCACATCTAAATAACCGAAAAATAAACCAAACAACTTGGGTGGAGAAATTTGGGCACAATATTTAAAACTATGATAGTTGAATATCCAAATTGATTGTTACAATTATTGTGCCTAAATCAAAATTGCCAGCCATGGAAAAACAGCGACGTGAATGCTTTCATTGCGCACGCCTCTACCTGTTCCGTGGCACATATCAGCTCCCCTTACGTTGTGCAGCGTTTTTATTTCTTATGTTTGTTTCGCACTATGTTATATGTAGATCGAATAGACTTACATTCGATTATTGAAACATTTGTGCCATATCCAAATTCCAGTCACTGAAAAACAGCGGCGTGGATGCCTTAAATGCACACGTTTCTACCTGTTCTGTGTCACAAGGCGACCTTAGATTACTTCATTGCTGAGTCGGTTCAACATACATTGTTCTAACCATATTTTATCGTCCACAGAATACACATGAAACTGCACAGGCCATCAAGCGTATGCCACTACGTCGTGCCCAACGTTTCCTCAAAGCTGTCGTCGACCAAAAGGAGTGTGTACCCTTCCGCCGTTTCAATGGTGGTGTTGGCCGTTGTGCTCAAGCCAAGCAGTGGAAGACCACACAGGGTCGTTGGCCAAAAAAGTCCGCCGAGTTTCTGCTGCAGTTGCTGCGCAATGCTGAGGCCAATGCCGATTACAAAGGCTTAGATGTTGACCGTCTGGTGGTGGACCATATTCAAGTGAACCGCGCTCAGTGTCTGCGTCGCCGTACATACCGTGCTCACGGTCGCATCAATCCGTACATGTCGTCGCCGTGCCACGTTGAGGTTATCCTAACTGAAAAAGAGGAGGTCGTGGCAAAGACTAACGATGATGAGCCCACAAAGAAGAAGCTTTCCAAGAAGAAGCTGCAACGTCAAAAGGAGAAGATGTTGCGTTCTGAATAAAATGTATTCTGCGGTGGCCCCCAGCCACCCAGCATATGTCTTGTAATGAAACAATTTTTTTTTACAACTAAAATATGCGTGTGTGTGTAGTATCAGTTGTAGAAGTTGGCGAATACAACATCAACGACTCGAGAATTCAATGTAACTTTTTTTTTTGCTAGGTCTTAGGATGTGTATTTAGAACATGAGCGTTTCCCGTAGTCTCGGAATAAAGATAATAGTTTTTATTTCATAAACTTTTAAGCTTGAATGGAATATCCTACTGGTCTGGCTGATTACCATGAATCCTGACATTCAGCACGGATTGGAATAATAAATGTTTCTTTTAGAAAGAAGAGAAGGGAATAGTAAATGTGTGGAAGGTGTCATTTTACATGAATTAGGGGCGTAGCTATTAACCTTACCTTGTGCAGCTAGTGCTCTGTCGACATAGAGCGGCAAAATTTGTTATACTAGGTGCTAGGTTATATGTTAAGAATGTAAGCGTTCCCCATAGTGTCAGAATAAAGCTATTAGGTTTTATTTTCCTAACCTTTAAAGCTTGGCTCATGACAGTACCGACTCATGCATGTCGGTATGTAGTATTATTGTAAAAAGCTATTGGCATAAAATAATTTGCACGTAATGCCCATTAGGCATCAAAGCTACAGTGCATAATTTTGACAGTCTTGCCAGGTAAGAGAATTAAGAGGCATTTCGAATCCTTATCTGAAAAAAGGCTTACACAATTTTTAGTAGACTGTACATTTGATTTGCGGGAGGTGAAGTGTGTAACAGGCAGGAGCTTGTTTTTTAAATAGATTTTTAAAATGTCTTGCGTATGTCATGCGTAGCAAGGGCGTACACTGGTCAACTGCCTAAAATGTCTCTATATGAAGCCAATACATTATTATGGCGCACTATTTCGTCTTAAAATGGAACTGAGTTGGATTTGTTGAAGTTTTTCTCTTGATCATATGCAACAATTATTATTTTCCCGCATCGTGCATTATTTAATCATAATTTTTGGCCCCCGCCCCCCTTTGGGAAAAGCTGCATACTCCCTTCCGTAGCGGCATTCAAACTATCTATATATAAAACAGTTTGTCCTGACTGATTGGTGATAAACGCACAGCCCAAGCGATAAAATCTAGGAAGTTGAGATTTGGCCTTTAGTATCCTTTCATAGTGTAGGTGCCCAATAAGGGATTTGGGTAAATTCGAGCTCCAAAAGGGAGAAAACATGCTCCAACGTTTGTATGAAAAATCTACAATCTTCAAACTTAGTTTGTATACTCTTAGAAAAATTAGAAAAAAAAACTGCATACTTAGTTTTTGGACAACGCGTCAACAGAAACAGTAAGACTAGAAAGCTGAAATTTAAGGTCAAGTATCATAGTGTAGGTGTGCACTAAGAAGGGATTTTTGAAAATTCGAGCTACAAAGGGGGGAAACCGAGCTCTAAAGTTGGTTTGAAAAACCCATATCATTCAACCGATCGACTTTCTAAAATCAAAAGAACACAAATAAAACAGCATACTCGGTTTTTATACTCCGTACATGAAATGTACAGAAGTATATTAGGTTTGCGCGAGCTGAAAAATGTAACAGGCAGAATGAGGCGTGGCAGACCCCACAAAGTATATATATTCTTGATCAGCATGAGACGAGTCGATCTAGCCCTGTCTGACCGTCCGTATGAACACCTGGATCTCAGAGACTATAAGAGAAAGAGACACCAAATTTTGCACAAAGATGCCTTATGTGTGTACGCTATACGAGTTTGTTCTTTTTTTTTGATTTTCTCCCCTATGGGGTTTTCCCGATTTTCCATGCGTATAATCGCCTATATCTCGGAGACTATAAGACCTAGGAACACCAAATTTTAGTCCAAGATGCCTTGTGTGAATACGCAGAAAATGTATATTTTGGAATTTCCCTCCCTCCCTTAAATAAATATTCTTTATTATTATTTATTATATTAAATAATTAATTCAATTTTGTTTAATTTAATTTAAAAAATTTTTTTTTTAATTTATCTTTTTTGTGGAGAGTACAGGCTATTTTACTGTCGGGCTTGCTCGACTGTAGCGTCTCTCTTGTTATACCCTGTACCCGTAGGGTATAAAGGGTATATTAGGTTTGTGCAAAGTATGTAACATGAAGAAGGAAGCATCTCCGACCCCATAAAGTATATATATTCTGAATCAGCATGACGAGAGAAATCGATCTAGACATGTCCGTCCGTCTGGATGAACGCAAGGATCTCAGAAACTATAAAAGCTAGAATAACCAAAGTTGGCATCCAGATTCTCCTAGGTCCGAGAAAGGACGAGTTTATTTTTTTTTTTAATTTCCCCCCCCCCCCCCCTGCCCCCCTTCACCCGCTACAGAATTTCGTCAATAGCGTCCACATTTCAATTGCTACCTAAACCAAACTTTGCACACATAATTTATATATAATTGTCTACTGTTGTTCAAAAATATCCAATTCGGTCAATTCTAAGAAAAGTTATTAGCAAAACAAATTCTCTCCAGTACCACCCCCCAACCTGCTGCAACAAGTTCGCTCTTCTTCTTCCTCTTTTTGGGCGCATATAACTCAGTGACGGAAATTTACCTGGGTACAGGGTATTACACTGTCGGGCTTGCTCGACTGTAGCGTTCTCTCTTGTTTTTTTATGAGTCCGTATGCCAAGTTTCATTACGATAGGTTAGTTATTAAGAAAGTTATAGCCATACATATATATTCTCTGCCGGAGCTCTACCCGCAGCCTATTGCATATTTTTATACTCTGTACATAAAATGTACAAGAGTATATTTGGTTTGCGGGAGCTGAAAATAAAACAGGCAGAAGGAGGCGTGGCAGACCCCACAAAGTATATATACAAGTATTCTTGATCAGCATGACGAGACGAGTCGATCTAACCCTGTCTGTCTGTCCGTATGAACACCTGGATCTCAGAGACTATAAGAGGTAGAGACATCAAACTTTGCACAAAGATGCGTTATGTATGTACGCTGTGCAAGTTTGTTTTTTTTTTTTGATTTTCCCCCCCTATTTCTCCCTTATGGGCGTTTTCCCGATTTTCCTTCGTATAATCGCCTATATCTCAGAGACTATAAGACCTAGGAACACCAGATGCTTTTTGTGAATATGCAGAAAATGTGTATTTTGGAATTTCCCTCTCCACCCTCCCCACTCTCCCATGCAAATCGCGATTTTTCTCTAACTCCCGTAATTCTTGGAATTTCGAACTAAAATTTTGCAAACACCACCAGTTATTATGTGTCCGTATGCACACACAGAAGGAGGCGTGGCAGACCCCACAAAGTATATATATTCTTGATCAGGGTGACAATCCGTTGTTGATCCATTCACCGTGCATACGGATTCCTGTATTTTTACAGCCAATTACCTGTTCGCGCTGTTACGGGCCGAAAAAAGCCGACACATACCCATCTCTAGCATCTCAGCTAATCGCATATTTACAAGCGACTTACCGTTTGTTTTAAACGGCTGCGTCAGCTAACAACGCTACAAATGTATTCTGAAGAATTCTGGGAGACATTAAGCGTTAAGCTTATTCCGTAAATGTATTTTTGTGATTTACAAAAGCATAAACACGCCTTTTAACTCATAACATTCATATTCAAAAACACATATGGATAAGTGTTGAACTGTACAATTCAATACATACACTTATATGTATTTATATATATGTACATGCATATGAGTATAGATAGCGCCTGCATCAAAAAATGAAATCTACATATCAGCGCTGCCAGACGTCCCGATTTTGGCGGGATATCCCGATTTTTAAATCAAAATTAAATATCCCGCGCGGGCCAGGCTCAGTCTCGCTTTTCGGGAATAACACGAGCACGCGTGCAGCGTGCTGAGGAATTTCGGACTGGTTGCACTTATAAATGAGGACTGTATGTATGCCGTTGTTACATTTTAGAATGTTTAATTCTAGAAACTACTAGCCCTCAATGTCACAATCTATATTTGTGCAAACATATGTATGTATTTTATGTAGATACATGTTTATGTATGTACATACATATATGTATATAAAATAGTTTGTATAATATATCTGCTTTTTGAACCCATTTTTTGTATTGGCACTTTATTGGTGCTCGAAAAAAATTGTATGTACATACATACATATGTATGCATGTGGGTATGTAAGTATGTACATGCAATCAACGCACAGCCCAAATGGTAAGCGTTAAAAAGCTTCGAAGTGTAGGTGAGCACCAAGAAGTGGATTTAGAAATTAGTTTTAAATAAATGATCAAAACCAACGGGGATACACCATTTACTTTCACAAAACTACTTTAACGGATTAAAAAAGTTTGTAAATGTAATGTACTCTTCCCTGCAAAAATCGCTGTGTGTTGTTTGATTTCTAAAATAGCTTTAAAAATTGTAGCTATTTCTAAAATGACAAAAGCCAAATGTTCTTTTATATTTATTACACATACAAATATATTTTTTTGTAGCGATTACTCAAATCTTACATTAAACATTATATTTAAACAAGAAAGGAATGCTAAAGTCGAGCAGGCTCAACTCTTAAATACCCTGTACCACCCCACAAAAAAGAAATTAATTTAATTAATTAACTAAATTAATTTAATTAATTAACTAAATTAAATATAAAATATTCCATGCATGCATACATACATTTACATCAGAACCGTGCCTTATGCGTGTTTGTGTACTTGTACATATGTATGTATGTGTTAATTGGGCCTGGTTATATGGCTATAACTTTCTTTCTGATCAACCTATCATAATGAAACTTGGTATACGGATATATAATTACTAACCTAATGTGAAATTTTAGTTCAAAATTATTATTATTATTCAAAATTACGGGAGTTATAGAAAATCGTTAATAGGGGGGAGTGGGGGGGGGTGGATCAGAAAAAATAAACAAACTCGTCCTTTCTCGGGCTCAGGAGAATCTGTATACCAAGTTTGGTTATTCTAGCTCTTATACTTTCGGAGATCCTTGCGTTCATACAGACAGACGGACATGGCTATATCGACTCGGCTTGTCATGCTGATCAAGAATATATATGCTTTGTGGGGTCTACCAAGCCTCCTTCTGTATGTTCCATGTGCACTCGCACAAAACTAATATACTCTTGTACCCTTTGGGTACAGGGTATAACAAGAGAGAACGCTACAGTCGAGCAAGCCCGATAGTGAAATACCCTGTACCCAGATGCACTTCCGACACA